TGGGGCTCAAGCTCAGAACCACAAGATCACGACCTGAGCCAAAATCAAGAGTCAGATGCTTGGGGCGCCTGGGTGGCTTAGTCGGTTAAGCGTCCGACTTTCGCTTAGGTCATGATCTCACGGTTTGTGGGTTCGAGCCCCGCGTCGGGCTCTATGCTGACTGCCAGCTCAGAGCCTGGAGCCTGTTTCAGTCTGTCACTCCCTCTCTCTCTCTGACCCTCCCCTGCTCACGCTGTCTCTCTCTCTCCTAGAAATAAATAAAAAAGAAACATTAAAAAAAAAAAAAAAAAAAAGAGTCAGATGCTTAACAAACTGAGCCACCCCGGGGACCTCAAAATGCATGTGAACTTAAGTTGTTATCAGCTTAAAACAAGATGTTATAAGATGTTTTATGTAATCATCTGTAAAAACCAAGCAAAAACCTACAGTAAGTACACACAAGAGAAAGAAACCTCCATATACCATTACAGGGGCACCTGGTGGCTCAGTCAGTCTGACTCTTGATTCGGCTCAGATCATGATCTCACTGGTGAGACTGAGTCCTGGGTCAGGATCTGTGCTGGGAATGGAGCTTGCTAAAGATTCTTTTTCTCCCGGTCTCACTGTCCCTCCCCTACTAACGCTCTCACAGTAAATAAATTAATAAACATAACTTTATAGAAAATGTTCAAATCACAAGGAAAGTGAGCAAGAGAAAAAGAAAGGAAAAAAGGAATTACAAAAATCAATAAGGAAACAGACATACTAGACCAGAAAAACTTGACAGATAAAATACATTCCACCAAGTAGCTGCAGAATAATACACTTTCTTCTCAAGTGAACATGACTCATTCTCCAGAACACATCATATGTTAGGTCACAAAAGAAATCTGCATAAATTGAAAAAGACTGAAATCTTACGAGTACTATAATCCTCTTTTCCAACCACGAGGGAATGAACAGGATGCCTATCACAAGAAGAAATCCTGAAAACTAACAAATACAGGAACATTAAACAACATGATACTAAGCAACCAACAGGTCAGAGAAGAAATCAAAAGAAAAATTAAAAACAATCTTAAGCCAAATGGAAATTGAAATATAACATACTAAAACAAGAATGCAGCAAAAGCTGCTCTATGAGGGAAGTTTATAGCGATAAATGCCTAGTGTCAGATATAAGAACTATCTCAAACCAGCTAACTTTATACCTCAAGGAATAGAAAAGAACAAATGAAGCCCAAAGGAAGGAAGAAAGTAGCAGAAAATAATAAAGATCAGAGCAAAATAAATGAAAGACTCCAAAAAGACAATAAAAAAGTGAACAAAGAGCAGTTTAAAACATAAAATAAACAATATGGGCTTTTACCTACACTCATGAAGAAGAGAGCAGATTCCAACATAAAAAATCAGAAATGAAAATGGAGATATTACATATGATACCACAGAAATGCAAAATATCATGAACAATTATACACCAACAAATTGGACAACCCAAAAGAAATGGATAAATATTTAGAGACATACAACCTACCAAGAATGAATCACGAATAAAGAGAAAATATGGACATATCAATTACTCATAAGGGAACTGAATCAACAATCAAAAAACCTCAACAACAAAGTCCAGGGCCAGATGGCTTCACTGGTGAGTTTTACCCAAAATTTAAAGAAAAAAATTAATACCAATTTTTTTTTCAAAGTCTTTAAAAATACATACAAAAGGAGGGAACAAGTTCGAATCCATCTTACGAGGCCAGCATTACCCGCTACCAAAACCAGACAGGGACACTACCAGAAATGAAAACTGAAGCCAATATCCTGGATGAACCAGCAGACAAAGATCCTCTACAAAACATGAGCAAACCAAACTCAACAGTACATTAAAATGATCACACATCATGATCAGGTGACATTTACCCTAAGGCTACAAGGAGGCCTCAACATAAACAAACCCATCAGTATGATACACTGGATTAAGAAAATGAAGAATAGGGGCGCCTGGGTGGCTCTGTCTGTTAAGCGTCCGACTTCGGGTCGGGTCATGATCTCACGATTCGTGGGTTCGAGCCCTGAGTCGGGCTCTGGGCTGACAGCTCGGAGCCTGGAGCCTGCTTCAGATTCTGTGTCTCCCTCTCTCTCTACCCCTATCCTGCTCACACTCTGTCTCTGTCTCTAAAAAATATATAAATGTTAAAAAAATAAAAAATGTTTAAAAAAAGAACATGAAGGATAAACACCATATGACCATCCCAGTAAGTGGTTAAAACTCATCTGACAAGGGGCGCCTGGGTGGCTCAGTCGGTTAAGCATCCGGCTTCGGCTCAGGTCATGATCTCACGATTCGTGGGTTCGAGCCCCAAGTCGGGCTCTGTACTGACAGCTCAGAGCCTGGAGCCTGTTTCAGATTCGGTGTCTCCCCCTCTCTCTGACCCTCCCCTGCTCATGCAGTCTCTCTCTCTTTCTCTCAGAAATAAATAAAACATTAAAAAAAATCATCTGACAAAACTCAGCATTCATTCATGATAAAAATTTTCAATGAAGTGGATTTTGAGGAAATGTACTTCAACATAACAACCCCCCAGCTGACACAGTCAGCAGTGAAACTCTGAAAGTCTTCCTCTGAGATGGGAAAAATAGGAGGACGCCCACTCTCGCCAGCTTGATTCAACACAGAACTGGAAGCACCAGTCAGAGCAAGGAAGAGGTACAACAAAGTCACAGGCATCAAAGGAGCAAAAGGCATTTGAATTGCAAAGGAAGAAGGACTCTATTCGCAAATGGATAATATTATACATAACAACCCTAAAGACTCCAGCAAAATAAAACAAAACAAAATAAAACAAAACCCAAATGAATGCAGAAGAGGTGCAGGTTATAAAATCAACATACAAAATTAGCTTCATTTCTATACTTTAAAAATAAAATATCAGAAAGATAAACTAAAAACAATCCCATACGCAATTACAAATCAGAAAGAATAAAATACCTAAAAATAAATTTAACCAAGGAGGTGAAAAACCTACGTCCTGCCAACTACATGACAGTAATGAAAGAAAGTGAAGAAGCCACAAATAAATGGGAGGACAGTCCATGCTCATGGGTTGGAAGAATTAATATTGTCAAAATGTCCATACTACCCAAAGCAGTCCGCTTATTAAACGTAATCCCTATCAAAATCCCCATGGCATTTTCCATAGAAATAGATCGAATGATCCCAAAATTTGTATGAAACTGCAGAAGACCCCGAATAGGCAAAGCAATCTTGAAAGAAAGACATAAGCTGGATATAGCACACTTCTAGATTTCAAACTATATTACCAATTCATAGTAAATACCAAAAATGTATGGTATCGACAGAAAAACATACACATAGATCAATGGAACCGAATGCACAGACCAGAAATGAACCCACACGTGTACGTTTAATTAATTTACAACAAAAAAGCCAACAGCATACGATGGGGAAAGGAAAGTCTCCTCAATAAATGGTGCTTGACAACAGGCAGCCACATGCAAAACAATGAAACTGTACCCCTCTCTTACGCTGCACACAAAATCAACTGAAAATGGATGAAAGACTTGAATGTAAGACTTGAAGCCATAAAACTCCTGGGAGAAAAGATAGGGGGTAAGTTCCCTGAGATCGGTTCTGACAATGACTGTTTTGGACTTGATACCAAACACCAAAATAAACGAGTGGATCTGCAGCAAACCTAAACGTTTCTGCAGAGCAAAGAAAACCAGCAATAAAAAGGCAACTATGGAATGGAAGGAAACACTTTCAAATCATATATCTGTAAAGGGGTTAATATCCAAAATATATATGTAAGAACTCAGACAAGTCAATAAAAACAATGACAAAAAACACAACATGGGCAGATGTTCTGAACAGACATTTTTCCCAAAAGAGAACTTACAAATGGCCAACCCATACATGAAAAGGTCCTCAGTGTCAGTAATGGTAAGAGAAAGCAAATCAAAACGACGATGAAATATCGCCTCACACCTGTTTAAAAAAAAAAGGCTATTATCAAAAAGACAAGAAATAACAAGCACTGGCAATGACGATGAGAAAAACGAAAACCTTGTGGCTGTTGGTGGGAATGGAAATTGTACAGGGACTACAGAAAAACAATAGAAAAGTTCCTCAAAAAATTGAAAACAGAACTATCAGATAATCCAGCAATTTTACCTCCAGGTATATATCCAGGAAGTCACTATCTCAGAAAGATATGTGCACCCCTATGTCCACTACAGCATTTATTTATATACCCAAGACATGGAAACAACCTAAGTGTCCATCGAAGGAGAAACAGGTAAAGAAAATATGGTGTGTGTGTGCATTTACACACACATATGTATTTATAAACACACACACACTGTGTATATATGTATGTGTATGTGTATATACATCTATGCAACTATAAGTAAACACACACACATACACACATGTAAAATAAAAGGAAATCCTACCATCTGCAACAACATGGATGGCTCTTTGGGACACTGTGCTAAGTAAAATAAGATAGAGAAAGAAATATTGTATGACCTCCTTTATCTGTGCAATCTTAAAATAATGAAACTTGGGCAGCGTATGGGATGTGTCAATAGGTGATAAAATGGCACAAAGCTCCAGTTACACGAGTCCACCCTTACCAGGGAGGGTACATTTCAAGATCCCCAGTGGATGCCTGAACTGTGGATATTACTCAACCCTGCACGTACCATGTTCTGTGCTATACATATATTCCTACGGTAGAGCTGAGTTTATAAATTATATCACTTACTGTGATTAACAACAACTATAAAATAGAACAATTATAATAATGTGCTATTACACAAGTTATGTGAAAGTAGTCTCTTTATCGGTCTCTTACAATATCTTACTGCACTGTCCTTGCCCTCTTCTTTTTCTTGGGATGATGTGAGATGATATAAAAGCCTACGTGAGGAGATGCAGTGAGGTGAACAATGCAGGCACTGTGACACAGCACTGGACCACAACTGACCTACTGACAAGCATGAGAGGGAAGATCATGTTTTGGGGCCATAGTTGACCACCGGTAACTGAAGCCATGGACAGTGAAACCGCAGACATGGTAAGACAACTGTATAAAATAAGTAAGGGGTTACTCTGGTCACAACACCACACCGTAGAGTTGAAAGTTGCTAAGACAGTACATCTTAAAATTCTCATCACACATACACACAAAATTAGCAGCTCTGTGTGGTTATAGGTGTTAATTTAGTGTCATAACAATACTGCAATATACACATACATCAAATAACTTTGTTGCGTACCTAAAACTAACAGCGGTATGGTGTTATATGTCAATTATATCTCAATATAAATAAATAGATAAAATGAAACTCTGAAAATATACTCAACGAATGAAAAAGAAAAAGGGGAATGAAATTACAGAAGTAAGGGGAAATAAGGAAACAATAGTAAAATAATAGGCATAGATCCAACATACATTGGATCAATAATTACATTAAATTTTTCTGGAATCAATTATTCCAATTAAAGATTATTTTATTGAGAAGAAAGGGGTCAATTACATGTTGTCTACAAGACCCATACATTTTAAATATAAAGACAGATAATTGAAAGTAAATGGTTAGAAACATATATCCCTTACAAACAGGAAGCATAAGAAGACTGAATTAATAATGTTAATCTTAGATAAAATTTGACAGCAAGGGTGAAAGGGGAATTTTATAAGGATAAAAGAACAAACTGCAGTTTTTAGTTTAAAGGTGTTGCGTGTCTTCTGCTAAATCTATAATGAAGATATGTGGGTTTTTTCAGTAAAGGCAGAATTAGTATTTAACACAATTGAACTAGAAATGGAAAAGGAGCCTCCTTGATCTGGTAAATGGCATCTATGAAAATTTGGAGCTAACAGCTTAATTAATTAGTGAAAGACTAAATGCTTTCCCCCTGACATCAGGAAAAATAAAAGGATATCTACTCTTACCACAACTACCCAACCTCATACTGCAAATTCCAGCCATTCAAACAGGATCAGTAAAGAAACAAAAGGCATAAAAGTCAGGAAATAGCAAAACAAAACAAAACAAAACAAAACAAAGCAGTCTCCATTTGCATATGACACAGTGGTTTACATAGAAAATCCTAAGTAATCTTTAAAGTAACTACTATAGCATATGAATTTAACAAGGTGGCAAATATGATACGCAAATACAGGACATGCAAACATCTACTGAAAACTGAAACTGACTAATGAGTTTTTTAAATAATCCATTTAAGACAGTACCAAAAAACCCCCTGCACAATACTCAGGAATAAATTTAGCAGAAAACATGCAAGGCATTTAAACCAGAAACTGCCAAAAAAAAAAAAAAAAGTGAATTTTTAAAACCTAAATAAATTAACATGATGAGATATTGGAAAACTTCTTATTATTAAAATTTCACTTCTCACCAACTGACCAGCAGATACATGGCAACTCCAATCAGAATCTGGGGCCTTTTTCACTTGTTTTTAGAAATTTGACTCGTTGATTTAAATTTTTTAGAAATAGGGATGCCTGAGTGGCTCAGCCAGCTGAGCATCCAACTATGGCTCCAGTCATGATCTTGGGGTTTCTGAGCTGGAGCCCCGCATCAGCTCACTGCTGTCAGCGCCGAGCTGCTTCGGATCCTCTGTCCCCCTTTCTCTACATCCTCCCCCCACGGGTGCTGTATCTCGATTGAGTGTCCAACTTTCGCTCAGGTCGTGATCTCACAGACCGTGGGTTCGAGTCCTGCATCGGGCTCTGTGCTAACAGCTAGTTCAGAGCCTGGAACCTGCTTCGGATTCTGTGTCTCCCTCTCTCTCTGACCCTCCCCTGCTCATGCTGTCTCTCTCTCTCTCTCTCTCTCTCTCTCAGAAATAAATAAAACATTAAAAAATTTTTTTAGATAAATAAATAAATAAAACATTAAAAAATAAAATTTTGGGAAATACAAAAGACCTAGAAAATACAGAATGATGTTGAAGAGGAACCAAGATAAAATACTTATACTATCTGACATCAGATTTGCTGTAACAGTACAGTAATGAAGAAAGTAAGGCACTGACCCAGGATTAACAAACACATCAATACAAGAGAACAGTGGAAAAACATAGTGCATCTAAGAAGAAACAGAACATATTTGGATCAAATCTTCAAAGAACTACATAGATAGATAGATCTTCACTGCAGCAAATAGGACCAGATAAGTCTGAATTTACCATAGTCTGGGGAAAATTTCAAGTTACTTAGATCTTGCTAAGTTCAAAGAAGTGTATTTAGTAATAAATTAAGAAGCTAATACAAAATGAAAAGGCCCTAAAATTGAAAACTGAATGAAATGAACACTAAAGCAGATAACATTAAATAATTTTTTAGATCTGTAAACGAAAGGCCCCAGAATGCCTCTTTGGAAATACTCTGGCCTGGAAATTCTGAATTCTTCTTTTTTCTTTTAAGTTTATTTATTTAATTTTTGAGAGAGAAAGAGAGAGAGACAGCATTAGATGGGGAGGGGCAGAGAGAGGGAGATACAGAATTCAAAGCAGACTCCATGCTCCGAGCTTCAGCACAGCACAGCAGGGCTCAAACTCATGGACCATGAGATCATTACCTGAGCTGAAGTTGGACCCTCAATGGACTGAGCCACCAGGTGCCACTGAATTCTTTTTATTACTATGCTGACCATTATAGTGTTACTACACTACCATCAAGCCAGAAAAGCACCAGTCTTCATTCTGACATAATAAGCAAAAGGAGGCATTTTTACATCCAGAAAAGAAAAAAAAGAAGGGCAACAGCAAGGAGGACAGAAGACAAAAAAGGAAGCAAAGAGACAGATGAATAGCAAAAAAAAAAAAAAAAAAGGTATCCAAATGAAAGGAAAAGTCACAGGGCAGAATGTTCCAGGGGCACCTTATTCAACCAAGTAACATTCTAAAGGCACAAAAAGAGTTAATAGGATTGCAGACCTTTCTTACAAGCTTCATGGATTGCAGAATTTGATTTCTTCTGTTTCCATTTAAAAAGTAGAAATAAAATTGACTCAATGTTAAATGACATAAGTAAACTACAAATGGGCACCGCCATGAGGTCACCCTGAAGAAAAATAATAAAATGTGTCCGTTTCCTTCCCTACTCCTAATGTCCAGGCTTGAACACACATTCCCACTCCATCACCAAAGAAATGAAGGTCTATGAGACTATAAAAGTTTGAAGACTGGTAGAAGTCTAAAAGATGTGTTAAAAACTTAATACTCGTTAGCACAGCGCTCATGGTTAAGAAATAAGATTCCAAAAATAAGACTGACTGCTCCCTGTTCCTGGTGCCCATAATTTAACACCTATTTTCAAAAGTAAAGTTAAAAAAAATTTTCCCCTAGGTGAAAGATAACCTCTAAGGAAAAATTTTAAATGGAAACACTTGAAAACGTATAGATCGATGACGTAGCTCTATTATTTCAGGAGGCTTACTGTAGGCACAAATTAAGAAATCATCAATCAATTTCACTGGGCAAAAGTAACAGATATTGACCTGAATATGCAATACCTGTACCTTGAACAGGACATTTTTACAACCATCCTAATGTAAATAATTTTATATCCTAAGTATTCAAAAATATCACCTTTTTACAAAGTGCTTATGATCACTGCAGAGGTAGCCACAGGAAAACACTTTTGTACGTTATTGAGCACGGAGTATGATGTGAAAGAGAAAATACCTGCCTGGAGTTTCAGCATAATTTTTATCCTGAGCACTGAGAGAATTCTACTTGATTAGTAACTATAATTACATACACATACTAATATACATATAAACAGTATATATAACATACTAACATACATATATAGACATATGTACTAATTACATGAACAACAAATAAGGCCAAATAAATGGAAAAATAATCTTTCGTAATATATTCGTAAGATGCTAAATCTTATGCATTTCATAAAAATTATAACTCTATTAAGTTCTTGGCATTTATTATTTGAAGTTTTACTTTTATTGTTGAATTTCCCAAGTGTGAGGTTGGATTTGATATGTTGTATCAACAGCTAAAAGTCTTACTTACACACTGAGCATGTTCATTGTTTTCTCTGTCTCCAGCCTCACATAACATACCTTAGACAGTCTTTTGGAAGATTCACAATTACGATCTGCACATGGCTTAGGTCCTTTTTCAGTGTCTAGAGATGAAACTGAGAAAATATATTATATTTTATCATGGGCCCAAAATACTATCTCACAATATTAAAATTGGCTTTTGAAATATAAAGCATTATTTATCTAATACTTCTCTTCCACTAGTAATTAAGCAATTTTCCTAATGTTAAACTACTCCTTTCAGCTACAAACCTAAGCCAAAGAGTTGTTTAATATAAATCAGGAAAACCTCACTATTATACTGATCCTAAAAATTAATAATAATGATAGTAACAATAATAACCATGCCTTATCATCACAATAAAGATTAGAGCAGAAATGTATGAAATAAAGGACAGAAAAAGCCTCACCCAACTAAGAGTTGCTCCTTTGAAAAGTAAACAAAACTGACAACCCTTTAGGAAAACTAACCAAGGAAAAAAGGAATGTCCCAAACCAACAAAATTATAAATAAAAAAGGAGGCACTATCACCGATAATATGGAAATTTAAAGGATCATTGAGAGACTATGAGTAACTATATATTATTTGACTGTATAACAGGGAAGATATAAAAACTTGCAGACATAAAAGCCAAAGGAGGAATAAGACAAAGAGGCCTTAAAAGGGTTCCTTAAATAATCTTTCTAAATTATCTCATTAACCTAATTACCAGGGTTCTAAAATCCTCAATCACTTTACTATTGACCAAGATACACAAAGTCTGATTTCTACCCCTAGGTCTATCACTAACAAACACAGGCATATTATTTAATGCCTCCTTGAGACTTCTGCTCTCTGCTCTGTAAAACAACAGGCTAATTATGATTTTGCCATTCTTCCTAGTTGTAAAAGTATGATTTAAAATATAAATATGTCAATCTTAATAATCTAAGCTCTTCTGTAAATGAAGCGATCATGACTACTGTACTTTCTTCAAATTATCACATGCTACCCATTAGCCATTCTAGAATGTTTCCCAAATATACTCTGTGTTGTGTATATACATGACTTTACGTTGCTATATTATATGGAATTCTTTCAACACACCAATAGTTTTTCATGGACCTCCTTAACTGTTTATCTCCTAATGACATCTCTACTTTCACAGCAGCCACAGAACACCTGGAATTTCTGCCAGAGTATTTGCTGCACTACTGTTACGTGAACATCATCCTTTAAGTAGAATCTGACCTTCCTGAAGAAAGATCCCTGCTCAATATGACTGACTTTGCCTGATACGTTATGTAAAATATGTTGGATGGATAAGTAGCGATATGAAGATAATAAAATTGACCACAGAAGTATTAATAAATGCAGAATACACTAGTAGAATACTGGGAAATCATTATTTCAGTATTTTTTTAATTTTTATTTTTTTAAGTTTATTTAGTTTAATCATTACAATTAAGAGAGAGCACGCATGCACAGCAGAGGGGTGGAGAGAGAGAATCCCAAGCAGCCTCCATGTTGTCAGGGCTGAGCCCAACGCAGTGCTAGATCTCACAAACTGCAAGATCATGACCTGAGCTGAAATCAAGAGTTAAATATTTATCCGAATGAGCCACCCAGGCATCCCTTCAGTATTCTTTTTTAATATCTCCCCAAACCAGTACACATTATGAACTTTTTCTGTTGCCATCTGAATTAGTATCATAAAGTATTATCAAATATCATAAAAAAGACAAAGCATATCAGCGTGATTGTATAAAATCAAGCAGAATAAGATGTTTAAACTGAAGCAGACCTCCAAACAGGGCTGTAGATTTGGAGGGAAAAAAAAGTATTTTTATGGACTATTTTTACCTTAAATCCTTTTAAAATGACACCATCCTAAAATTGGACCCAGAAAATGTAAAATTTCTAAATTTATATATCAAAAATACACAATGAAATTAAAGAAAGCATTTTCGAAAATATTTAAAATATTATTCACCCAAGGCAATGCTTTTGAAACTACAGCTCATGGAGTAATTCAGAAGATGATAGACCTGAATCTACCAATTTATCATATGATTATGAGATCAGATCATCATGAAGATATATAATTTTATTTTTCTTTATTTAATGTTTATTTATTTTTGAGAGAGAGAGTGAGAGAGAGCGTGTCTGAAGGCTCCAGGCTCTGAGCTGAGCAGTCAGCACAGAGCCCAATGTGGGGCTTGAACTCACAAACTGTGAGATCTTGACCTGAGCCAAAGTCAGATGCTTAACTGACTAAGCCACCCAGGTGCCCCCCACAATTTTATTTTTAATTTAAATCCTGATAAAAGTTTCAGGCAAATTTAAAAAATCCATTAAAATCTATTTATCAAGCTAAAGCAAAATTGTTGGAAATAGTAACACAGAATCAACAGAAATTATCCAGTCTTCAGCATCAGTCAGTACAGACAGTGATTAATCAAGTCACTAACATCTAGAACATTTAAGTTAAAATCCATTACTAAAGATAGTAAGGGCTAACAGGCAGTAGAGTCCCCTCCACCATGTCAGATAAACCATATAACACTCACATTCTCTAGATCAGTTCACTTCATTAATTCTCTGGATCTGAGAGAGCACAATTTCTTCCTGAACTCCTGCCTCCTATGATACACTGCTTTACTTAGGCTGGATGGCTAGCCTCTTGATGTATGAAACTATGCACCCTGTTTTGTTTTTTTAGATTAAACTTTCTATAAAATGAAAAAATGATAAAGACATAAATGGTATCAGTAATATGGTGAATTAGGATACTTCAAGCCATGTCCCACCACAGAAATGCTGACAAAAATAACCCAAAATAGAGTCAAGGTTTCCTGAAACTCTGGAAAATAGCTGCATTTTGACAATGGAAAGAATTCAAATGGTTCTCTGGTTTTTTAATCAATGGTCTCTGAATCACTGATTCAAAAAAGCCCGAATTAACGGAAGCTGACTTAAGCACAGCACTGAAGGAATCTCTCATGAGAACACAAGCTAACATCAAGCTAAATACAGGAGACAAGAGAGACCACACACAACAATGAATACAGTCTTTAGAGAAGTGATTTTAGAGAAGTCACTAAACCAGCAACCACCCCCCACACGAACAATGACAACAGGCACAAAAAGAGGTGGAAGAAGCTGGTTTCATGAGAACTACCTGTAAGAATATTAAAAAGGTACAGTTTTCAAAATAAAAAATTACAAGGAATGAAAGAAAGAGGAGAGTATGAACCATTCAGCAAAACAAACTATCCCTGAGGAAGCACAGACATTTTAATTGCTAGACAGAGACTCTGTAACAACTGGCTTACATCTACTGTAAAAGCTAAAGGAAATAATGAACGACAACAAAAAGGAAAATGATTTCTCAACAAATATATCATATTAATAAAGTAAAAGGTTATATAAAAAGAAACCAAACAGAAATTCTGGAACAATTATAACCAAAATGAAGAACTCATACAGGTTTTCAATTGATCTTGTGAAAGAAAGAACTTGTGAATTTGAGGACTGGTAAACTGAAATTATCCAGTTAGAAAAGCAGGAAGAAGCAGGAAAAGAATAAAGGACTAAGAGACCTGTTGGACATCAGGTATACCAACATAAGCATAATGGGGGCCATGACTGAGGAAAAGAAAAGAAAAGAAAAAGACTGGAAGAACATTTGAAAAAATAATAGCCAAAAATGTCCCAATCTGATAAAAGATATGAATCAACATAGTCAAAAAGATCATGGAATTATTGTAGGATATGTGCAAGAAATTCAACAATGAAAGAGATTATAACCAAACTGTCAAAAATCAAAGAGATAATCTTGAAAGCAGAAGAAAGAGAGAGAGGAAAATAAAAGGAAAAACAAGCAACTTGTCACTTCCTTCAAGTCCATAAAAAGATTAACAGCAGGTTTCTTGTAGAAAACCATGGAGGTCAAAAGGCAGTGAGATAACATATTTAAAGTATTAAAAGAAAAAAAGCTTTCAACCCAGAATCCTGTGTCTCAAAAATGAGCATTCAGAAATGAAAAAGAGTAAAATTTTCCAAACACAGTGTTTGAGACGTTAGATAGTAGCAGGACAACACAGAACAATTTGATGCTATACAAAGAAATAAATAACAGTTGTAAAGTTAACTACCCAGGTAAAAGGCAATATTGCTGTATTTTTATTTTTTAACTCCACTTTTTCCATGTATATGATTAAAAAGAAAATACAGAAGATAATAATCATAAACCTATGTCAATGGAAAACAACATATATAAAAATGCAATCACTGAGAATACCATAGAGAGGAAGGAACAAACTATTCTGGAGTAAAGTTTTGGTACGCTGTTCACACTAGGCTAACATTAATCCAAACTATATAGTTACATATTCAAGATGTTAATTGCAAACCTCAGGGTGGCTACCAAGAAAATAACTAGAATATATTCAGAAAAGGAAATGAGAATAAAATCAAAATGATATAGTCAATTAAACAGAAGACAAATCATTAACAGAAGCACTAAGAAACAAAAAGATCTGAGAGAACTTCTGGTTTACAGTCCACCATGAAAGAAACGTGGATGCTGTCACTCCCATCCTCTTAAGAGGTAAACAAACTGAAACTCACAAACTCTTCTTTGATTCATCAAATCAGTAAGGTCTCTGGGAAGACCGCTCTCCACAAAACTAGAGAAAACAGGGTGGATACAGAGAATGACTGCTTACCCGGAGAAGTCCCCAAGCCAGAGGCTGCCACGGGAGCTAGTACCAGTAAGAAAACTGTAATTTAGAATCTGTTGAAGGCTCACAGTGAGCAAACTCAAGTCTTAGAAACTTTAGGGTAATTCCATCTTACAGAGACCTCCACACGTTCACAATTTTAGCCCTCCATTCATCCCAAGAGGTTCTCGTGTAAAACGTCTTCCTCTTGAAGATGAGGAAAAAAATCAGAGTAGATGTGGATAAAGTAAAAATTCTGTATAAACAAATGGAAATATTGTTGAAGAGACAGGAAACTAAAAAGCAGTTGTGGAGCTGATAAGTGTGAGAACTGAAGTGTATAACTAATTTGAAGGCAGATTTGATCAGGCAAAAGAAACAAATTAGCCAACCTAAAAACAAAACATTAGAAATTATCAAATCTGAGGAAAAGAATAAAACTTAGGGACAGTGATCAGAACCCAAGATAACTTCTGAACAATATCAAATGGACCAAAATGTACACCGTGGGCATCCCAGAAGGAAAAGAAAGTGACAGAGAAATCATTTTAATAAACAGTGGCTTAAAACTTGCCAAATTTGGTGAATCATGAATATAAAATCTAAGAAGTTCAACAAATACCAAGTAAGGTAAACTCAAAAAGACTTACAGATGACACATTATAATGAAGCCTCTCAAAGACAAAGAATCATGAAAGCAGGAAGAGAGAAGCAACCTGTCACATACAAAGGATCATCAATAAGGTGATGAGCAGATTTCCCATAAAAAATGTTAAAGGTCACGGGCTGATGTAATCAAAGTGCTAAAAACTGTTTTTTTAAAATGTCAACCAAGAATCCTACAACACACAAAACTGCCTTTCAAGAGTAAGGAAGGAATTAAGACCTTCCCAGATAAACAAAAGCTGAGGGACTCTGTTACCACTAGTTCTGCCCTCCAGGAAATGCTCAAGAGAGTCCTGCAAGGTGAAAGGGAAGGACATGAGATAGTCATTCAAAGCCATATGAATTAAGATCTCAATAAAGGAAAATATATGAATCATGGTAAAAGCTGCTATTATTGTAAGACTACAGTAACATTTACATGATGTAAGAAGATATTTAAAAACAGCCTAAAGGTAGTATGACTGTAACTTTGGTTTGTAACTTCATATTTACTTTCTATACAATTTGAGAGACTAAATTCACTTAAAGTAATTATTATTAATAGTTTACATTTTGGCTCAATTTATAAAGTCGTAATTTTATGACATCAACAACTGAAAGGGTTGGGAACAGAACTGCTAAAGGAGAGTTTCCAGACGTTACTGAAGTTATGCTGGTATAAATTCAAGTGAGCATTTTGACACTCGGATATTAAACGTTAGCCCCTGTTTTGACAACAAAGAAAATACCTATAGAACATACACAAAAGAAAATAAAGAACGCTTTAAACATTTAAGTACAAAAAGTCAACTACACACAAAAGAAGACTATAATTGGGGCACCTGGGTGGCTCAGTTGGTTGAGCATCTGATTCTTGATCATGGCTCAGGTCATGATCTCTTGGTTTGTGAGACTGAGCCCTGCTTCAGGCTCTGTGCTGACAGCGTGGGATTTTCTCCCTCTCTCTCTGCCCCTACCACACTTGTGCATGTGCTCTCTCTCTCTCTCAAAATAAATAAACTT